TTGATTGTAGCTTTAAATTTCTGAGAAACATTTACTCTTATTTCCATGTACTTTTTAAATCTTTTCCTGAACAAATGGAAAAGGTTTTCAATTTGAACAAATTGATCCATCATTTTTAGCTTTTTGGGTTTCAAATCACAATGCAGGTTTGTGTAGCAAGAAATCAAACCATGGTTGTTGTTGACTGTAACTCTAACAGGAATGCTTTAATCAGTGATTGCCACTTCCATGTCAATATTGTGGGAAGGATATGATTGACATTTTGATGCTAGATAAAAGTTTTTTCCGAGGAAAGTGATTTGTCTGGATCTCAGTGAATGATCCAAGAATTGTGCATAACATTGTTGTTGGGGTGCAATGTGCTCTAGTTTGGGCAACTTGAAAATGCAAGTTTGACAGAAGAGAAAAATATGGATTCATTTATGACAAAACCTGGATAATACATCAATCAAAATGTAGAGAAGTAAAAAGAAAAAGAAAGTGCAGGACTGGACAATTATTCAGTTGCCAATTTACTTTTCTTTTATCATTATCCAGTTAAATTTCCACTTGGTTAAAACTGTAAATAATATTAAGTAAAAATGTTTGTCCGAGTATAATAAAGAGGTTATTAATGTGCAAGACCAGAAGTCAAAGGGTTTATTTGAATTGGTCGCTTTCTTCATTTACGTCATCAAATGGTTAGCAAAGACTCCAATGTAATTTTGAATAGCTTTGAAAAAATAAAATGAATTGCCTTGCCGTGAATACTTAGCACTGTTGCCAAACTAACAAAGATTACAGGATCTGATTTAATAAGATGTATTTGTATTTGGATAGTTGTTATAGTGGAACACACCTATTCTATAGTTAATAGACTCTCCCACCTATAATAAGTAGGAGTCGAGAAGTCTCTCAGTGAGTTGGTCAGTCAGTCGATGTCGGACGACCGTTAGTCGAATACTAAAAGTATCAGCAACCACCACTAGATTTCTCTGTGTCATTACCTATTATATCAAGTTCTTAACGTTTTGTACGTTGAACCTATTTTAGGACTGACTTAGTACAAATACAAGCCTCCACTGTGAAACCACTCTACAACACTTGGCGACGAGGTATTCGGATTCATACGGAGGAAGAAAAACATTTGTACATAAGAGTAGTGTAATTTATACCAGGCAAATTGACCATAGGGCGACGATAGGGAAAAGAAAGCCTGATGTCACAAATGTTTCCCCAAAGATTGTACTTGCAGCAAAACTCTCAAATTATGTGATTGTCATTGGGAATGACTGACTGAAACAATTAACTAAGACGCTGAAATTTAGCTTTAGTGACAAAGAAAGAAAAGCAGCAGTTTCAAGAGTTGTTGGCTCTAATTTAACAGAGACTTTTCCTGTTTAAAAAGCAAACATCTGAATAGTGGGATGAACTCTACAAGAGTTCAGTTATCGACAAACCTACAAAAAGTCGATATCTTAGCTTTGGACAAAACTATGAAATTTTACAATTCAATTTGAATATCTTAGAGATTAACACAGTCATTAAAAGAGAGGCAGTGTGAGTTTTGAAAGCAGTTTTGCACACCATGATGAAACAAAATACTACCATTTATGGCAGAAAAGAAATTAGGAATGTGGTGAAAGTTATTTGGGGAGTGACAAAACAAAACTGGAAGCATGTTTTTTTTCTTAAATTCACCAAATCATAAAGTAATTATGTACATACAAAACTTTGGTTGTTAGTATTAATGATAGGTAAACATATTGGAACCTATTTAAAAAAAAAAAAAAAAAAACAGGAAAAAAAGATTCAGATTTATTAAGACATTTTCAAAAATAACTTATCCTCCTTCCAGTTGTCTGGTTGATTTTTATTTTTGTCAAAGTGGCAATTGTAGCAAGGGAGACAACTCCTGACGGCACTAATTTGTAATTTCAATCTCCTGCTTAAAAAAATATTTAGAGAAAAGGTGACAAATAAAAATGGCAGTAGGGTATTTTTTTTCTGTGTGTTATATTTCTTGTGAGGCTACAAAACTTTCAAAATAAGATTATTTTATAAATACTGAAACATGAACATTTTGTTTTTTAAATCTTTAAGTGATTCAGATAAAAAGAGTTTTAACAAAACCAAAAAAGTAATTACAGTAATCATGAAGTGAATGTAAATACCATGTCTCACGTGGTGTATTGTCTGCAGTTTACTTCGCTGTATAATTTTTAATAAAAAATAAAACTTTGTCAAAGTGATGTTTTTTGTATGATTGCACAGGAAATAAGATTAAAAAACAAAACAAAAACAAAAGAACCTTGTCATATGGGAATATTTTACTTGATTCTGAAAATGATGAAAATAACCCAGAGTTACCCGCCCCTGATCTTGATATAAAGAATAACAATAACGATAAAGATTACAATGAAAAATGTTCTGAGATCAAAAAGGTGATTCAATCAAGATGAGTTCAATAAGAATATTGGGTCTAATGTGGAAAAAAATGCTAACATTGTCACTATATCAACCTATTCATCTTTCAAGTGGAAGAACTTGTAAAATATGGAAAGTGACAAAACTAAGACAAAACAAATTTCACTCGAATTGACTTTTGTTCAATTTCAATTAACCTGTAACTTGACCTGTGCTAAAAACTGTTTGTGATGTCACTTTAAAATAGTTAAAGGCTAGCTGCATTCTGAAATGAGAAATAACTAGCTAATTTGCTAGCCATGAAATCCCCTGATATGATTAATAAAGAACAAAATTCCAGTCTCATGTCACCCAGAGGCAGTGAATATTCAGCTGTCAAGAGTTTTTTTTTAACCAAACATGGCTGCTCAATTGTTTCTTCCGATTGAATAATTGATTTGCATCAGCAACTTCATCAGGAGAGAAGATTTGGAGCACAAAGTGGCGACAAGCAATTAAATCAGTCAGTCAGCCCTTACAAAAGCCATAAGAAATGTCTTCAATCCAAGGTAGGGAAATAAGATAGTGTTTATGACAACACCTCATGATGACAGGAGAATGGGTGAGTCAAAACTGAGAAATATTAACAAAGACAAGGATGAGAATTTCTTTTAAAAAAAAGCTAATGTTTGTTCATGTTTCACTATCAGGCACTGAATATATCAAGCACCTGCTTTAGAATTGTCAGTGAGTGAAAATGTGTGGCACCTGAAGATGATTGGAAAGTTTACCAGTCAAAATATGAAGATGGGAAATAAGCGTCAAAATTTTTCCATCTTGATCAAAGGAATCACTTAAAAAAAAGAAACTTGGAGCTAGTCTTTCTCAGAAGCAGAAAAAAAATTGCCAGGGATGAAGTGAAACTGGTCAACACCACTGGCTGCTATTTTGGATCCAAATTGACACCTCAGAACCTTCTGTACTCAATGTGAGCATTGGAATGTTTTGAAAGTCAACAGCAAATAAGTAAATAGGCAAAAATCACAATTTGGGGTAAAAGGAGAAAAGACTTCAAGAAATTAACAGCAGATTTAAATATAACAAAACTTAAAGAGAATTTTTTTTCTTTTTTTTTTTCTTAGGGATTAACATTGAAGCCAAAATGTGCAACGTGCCGATGTTTATAAAATGATACCTGTGTTAATGCTTTTTTGGAAAAACATGACCTGCCCACCCCCTTAAAAAAAACAAAAAACAACAACACTTCTTACATAAAACAATGGCTGGTTTGTCAAGAAATTACAAATTTTGATTCCAACAACAATAGACATTGACATCAGTAGATCTGAAAACTCTTTAGAAAAATTCAAAAATAACCTAAAATCAGTCAACAAATAATTGCCCCACACCCCCATTCTGAATATTGTTCAAGGAAAATATAATGAACAGGAAATATATATAAAAACAAAACAAAAAATAAACTGAAAGAACCTTTAACAAGATAAAAGGAAACAGCTTCCTGATAAAATTCACTAAATCAAACAGACTTTGATTTCAAGATAAATACTTCAAGTAACTCAAAGAGAAAGAAACCAATCTCTGAGCAATGTTAGAAGGAAAAAATACCCCAATGAAGTGGGTAGAAATTGGGAAGATAGAAAAATTCAATTTAATAATTAAAGAGAGAGAGAGCAACAAAATGAAAAAGCAAATGAGATTAAAAAAGATCGATAAAGATAGGGTAAGTATAAATTGATTGATCAGGAAACCAAGATAAATAGAATTAAGATGACTACAAATTTGAAATATAGAAAATAATAATTATTTTCACAGATTTTATTCTTTGTTTGCATTTGCCTCAAACCAAATTATTCATCATATAGAAAACACATTCAAACTACAATAATCGCTGAATGAATACTGAATATCTGCAAACTTATTTCTCACAATAATTTTCATTCCCTCCATCTGAAAACGGTCTGAACATTTTGGGGCTAATGTGACACAATAACACTGACAGATATATACACAAATACATCAGAAGTGTGTGCGTCCATTTGTCTGTGCTTGTGTGTCTGTCAAAGAAATACAAGACAGTAATGTAGCTGCAGATGTATACAAAGAAACAAGCAAAAGAAAAAAAAAAGTTCCTGCTCGGTGTTTAGTTGACTTGCTCAACAGCAGCAATGTTTGTCATAATGGACGAGAAAAAAAGGTCCGTCTTCACCTATCACAGAAATGCAGTCTCTCTTCTTTTTAAAGTTTTTTTTTTTTGGGGGGGTTGAAATAACCATGGAATTTCTTTCAGGCCATTTTCACTTCATTTTATTGGGTTTTTATTTTATTTTTGCAGACTTCTCTGCAGAATCAGTAAACTGACACAGCCAAACATTTGGGGGGGGGTCTCTTGTTGAAGTGTGAAAATAAAACTTTTCTTAAAAGAAAAAGAAAAAAATGTTTCACTTTCCTGCAGGCGGTGATCAAGAAATGGGTGACCTGTTAAGAGTGACAATCAGCCACCATGACTACAGGGGTCAGCTGACTCCAACATCGTTGTGCTTGTCTGTGTCACCCAGGGAAGATCTACCTGAGAGTGCATGGTCATAGCAGTCTAGTCAGCAACGGAGGCAAGCCACTGTAACCCCTGCATCACAGCGCTGAATGGACATGTCCTCCTCGAGAGGCTCCCACATTTTCTTCAAAGGGTCAAAACTTTCTGCAGAATCAAGAAGTGTATTACCATCATACCTGGAAGGAGAGAGAGAGAGTGAAAAAAGAAGTGTACAATTAATTCATTTTCAATTAGCGTGCTAAAATTTTTACAGACTAGAATTCGATTAGTGCATACATAATCCTCAATTATTACAGTAAAATATTCTTCCGTTTAACCATAGTAACTGAAAATTTATTTTTTTTTTTAGTTACTGATGTACAAATTAGTCACACTAATCGAGGAATTCCTGTATTATCATTGTAGCTGGGGGGGGGAGAAAAGTGTATTACTATTGTATCTAGGAAGAGAGAGAGGGAGAAAAAAAAGTCTTTAAAGAGAATAGGCTACATAAATACATGGTTAGAGCGATTCTCTGTCACGATAACACAGCAAATCATTTTCCACATCTTACACTGAAATCTTTGCATGAATAAAACAAACAGAAGATATTTACCCTGCCACGACAACTAGTTTTCCTCTAAGTACACAGGCTCCGACATAACATCTTGGGACTGTCATATTCTGCACAGTGGTCCAATGGGCAGTGTGAATGTTGTAGCTTTCGACACTGGACAGATGATTGTTACCATCATAGCCTCCACATACATAGATCTGATCATTCACAACTGCTACACCAGCCCCTAGACACGCAAAACAAAAAGAAAGAGAGAAAAGAAAGGCTTGAATAAGAAGATTAGCTTTATTTATAAGAAAAATAATTATGAGACCTTAGTGGTTGATTCTTAGCCTCTCCATGAAATTGGGTTCCACTTGTCACTGAGGCAATAGACACAAAAGAATGTTCATTTGCAATGGTTTTTGCTGAAGATGACCATATTGGGGCCTGAAATAAATGGAATCGCATAAACAGGACAAAATATTTGATTCTGTTCTTGTAGTACTACTAAGCAGCTATTCCTTGTAACTAAAATTCCTGTTATGAATTATCTAAATCAAAACAAGCATGATGCTTTGTGTGCTTCATATGTAGGCAGCCATTTGCAATGCAAAAAGGGCACATGTGTGAGTGCAATAATATTGGCTGATGAATATTCATGAATAAGCATATATTTAAGGATTCATTTGATTTGGTTGGTGGTCTGCTTCCAACAGCTGTTGAGAATAGATATCAACTGGCTGCCATCCACAGTGAACCATGTCTGCCATGATTTACTGTGTTGGTGTTAGTTCCTTTTCTTTCCAGAGCAGAGACAGTGTCTTGAAGTCTCTCTTGAATCATTTGCATCACAGAATCGGCATACAAGGGAAAACCACTTTACATTTTGTTATTTACTTGAAACACACATAAAAACATCTCGTATAAATCTGTTAGTCAGAAAAAGTTATTATTTTTCATATTTAAAAAGAAAAAAAATCCCTTGAATTCTTTAACAAATATGATTGATATTAATCCTGATTCTAAAAGCATGTCTATTTACTAATTTTATTTTTATTCCGTATTAATTGCTGACATAAGCAAATTAGTTTATTCTTGGGAAATTACCAATTAAAATGAATTAAATCATAATTCATTTGCCTTAAAAAAAAAAAAAAAAAAATTCGACCACTGTATCCTCCATCTTTAGCAAGCTTCCAACAATGTTAAATTGAACCTTTTATTGAATGCCCATAGCCTGAACACTGATTCCTTTATCTTATTTCCCAATGTTGTACTTGACACAAATGTTCCAACCAGTAAGCCAAGCAAAGATTTCCCATAATTAACAAAAGAACAGCAGATTTAAGTTTCCTAAAGAATCACAAACTAAATGTTTCTCAGGATGCGGAGATCATGTCTCTCCCCAAATTCCTACCTTTGTGGATTATAAAAAGCGTTGGTAAAAGCTCATCTAGATGTCATGAGGTCAATCTCCAAATCACAAAGTGTAGAGAAATATACTGCCTCAGCTTTCTGTTGTTAAACGCTATTTTTTGTCAGTCACGAACATTGGCAATACATTTTCAAGGCCCTCTACATTTTGGGGGCCTGCAGCTGTGCAGGACCATCCACAATGTAATTTATTGCATATTTCATAGTCAACAATTTTGAAAAGCAAAATCCATCACCTAACTGTGCTCACATCCACTGTTAGGTCTCAGTAAACATTCAGCAATTTTTCACGAATTTCAATAAGTGCAATTTTTTCTGAATGAAGGAATTCATTGATACACCTCTGCCATGTTCAAACTTTTATGTCAGACATTATTTTGCCATACTGCTATCTGTAACAAAGCAAAAAATATTGGTTATTGGTGTAAACCTACTGTTATGCTACTAACATAACAAAGAGTCATTACTTTTGAAGCTACACTCTATATAGATAGTCATTATTTCCTATAGAAGTATTTTGAAACTTCAGAGCACTGAGATTACAATAAAATCCTAAATGAATTGGTCATTAATGTTAAATGTTGCTCACCTGACCGTCGTGTTGACATGGGAACAATGGCTGACCAGTGTTCAGTTTCTGGATCATAGCATTCCCCAGAGTCCAGCAGATTGACCCCATCATATCCCCCAATACAGTAAATCTTATCACGGGCCACAACAAGGCCAGCACCTTCACGACCAACAGCCATCCCACTCAAAAGCTGCCACTGATCAAGGACTGGATTGTAGGATTCCATACTTGTATGACGAGTATAGCCATCAAATCCACCACAAACATAAATTCGACCTAAAACAGATACAAAGAAAAAATAAAAATAAAAACGTCTACAATTTTTTGTATTTTTCAGGAAAAAAAAAACAAAGAAACATTTTGAATTTGTCATTCAAAAAATTAAAGAAAACATTTATTTATCATCACTTCTAAATAAATATTGATAAATTTTCTTTTAATTTCAAACTGAGATTTGAAATATAAATAGAATTTCCACAACACAGATCATCCTTATAATCCTCAAGGCAATGGAAATTATGAACAGGAGGATGGAATTATAAATGTTGGATTTCTGCCCTTTGATGATAATCACAGGCAGCATGATATTTCAAAGGCTCTTCCTCTTTACCCTTTAATTTTTGAAATGGCATCACACATTTTGTTTCACTCCAACATAAGGTATGTAAGTATTTCATAGACACAGATTGAAGATTGTATTGAACTATTCATAACTCCAACTTTGTTTGTTTCTTTATCCTTCTGCAACAGGTCTTCTTAATACATTAACTGTTGTTTGAATTCCATATTTATCACCATTTTTTATCCAGACTCACAGGAATATGCCAAATATTGTTTGCAGGGCAAATGTTCCAGGAAGCATAAAATACTTTCCATTCCCCCAACAATAGCAAGTAGAAAGCCTTGCACTCAAATCACAGCATTTACATTTATGGAAGCTTGTTCTATAGAATATATTGTATTCAATGCTCAACTCTGTAAACATTGTTCCAAATGAATATTTAAATTACATCATCAGTCAACATGGGGACAATCTATTTGTGGGTGTGGTTGGCCTCACCATGAACTGTTCTTTTGTGCTATCATGGCAAACTACAACCCATTTTTACTGATGTATTGTTGGTAATTTTATTTAGCAAGAAAGAGTCAAGGAATTGTGTCAATATTTGTGCAACACTCTTCCATTTATTCAATGTGAGGCTATGGCTGACAAGACTGTATATATTCTTTACCCCTTTTAGTGGACTTTCTTACTGAAAGACTTCAGATTGTTTGCCATGTTTTTTGATAAATAAAACCCAAGTAATAAACTCGAGTTTCACATGTGATGCAAAGCCTATTTTTTATAATTAAGAAAAAAAAAATGTTTTCAGACAAAGAAATGCAGGTTTACCTTTGTGGACACAGGCCCCAGCCAGTCCCCGATGTTGATTCATTGGAGCCACATTCTGCCAAACAGGCTCATCACTTGTCAGATCCAAGCATTCCACAGAGTTCAGGCGAGTCTGGCCATCATATCCACCAATCACATATATTTTACCATTTAAAGAGGCAGAAGATACATAACGTCGAGGCTTCATTAAATTCTGCAAGACAAAATAACTAAGTAATTAGAGTTGACAATTTAATAAAGAAGTTTTATTTTTGCAATGCCATGCAATAAATAATATCTATGGAATAAATAAATAATGGCATTTATTAACTCTACCTCTAATCAATTGGTTTTGTTTATGAAACTGTTGACAAGATAAAAAATGAACATTTCTTACACCATAAGCAAAAGATAAACATTTTTTTCTTTACTTACTGGTAGACATTTCCATTTGGAAATCTTTGGATCATACATTTCCACTGTGTCAACAAGATTCTGATGTGAGCCAAAGCCACCAAGGATTACAAGAACATCACCGCTTCCTGATGGTTAAAAAGAAAAAAAGTAATTTCATCAAAAATGGCTGATCTGAACACAGTAAATCTATAACAATGCACTTCATTTTATAATACCCTCCAGTAGCCACAATGCAAGGAATGACTCAAAACACTAGAAGTCATCATACAAAACAAACAGCCCACATTGAATATTATTCACTATGAGAGATGGTATCTTGAAATACATATGATATATTTAATGTACACACACACACACACACATATATATATATATATAATTTTATTTATTTTAGGATATTAAAACAAAAACATGTTAAAAATCACTACACAATTACAATTATGTTTCAACACTACAAATACTCAGGTGATGTTAAACTATTGATGAGTGAACAATTATTTTAATTTCAAAAAGTAGAATACTTCATCTTTTTTCTTGAGAAAAAAAAAAACAGAATTAAAAATATGTTTCTGGGCTTTACCATGATTAACCAATTTAATGTGACCTACACTAAATTCAAACTCCCTGAAAAAAAAATTTTTATTATATATATCATGACACAATGTTGTCTGCATATGAATCCTAGACCATTTCATTATGAACAGATACAAATGGTTACATTATTTCATAAGATGTATAGAAGTCTGGCATTCATCTTTCCTAAGCAGGAAAAGCAAAAGAAGTAGGGAGGTAATTTAGTAAAATGCTAACTAGTTATATGCTCAGTCAGCTACCTACATAAAATTTTGTAGTTGATAAATAAAAGATCCTCTTAAGAAACTAGTAAACAATTTAATCATTTGAAAAAAAAACCCCAAAAAACCCAGATCATGCTACTTTGGAAAATTAATATGCAACTGTTAAGTAAAGAGCATCCATATAAGATGTTAATAATACTAACTAAACATCAATACAGAGCTATATTAAATCAAAATGAATCTTACAAATAGAATAGTAAGCCATATAAGGTGAACTATAAGAAATTACATTTATTACCATAAGAAAAAGTATTATCAAATTCAAAGTTTAAACATATTCTAAGGTAAAAGGTAGACTATGCCTACAATTTACAGTCAATTCACTTCTTTGCTTTAAGAAGGAGTTTTTATCAGAAATTGTGATAATTTATAATTTTTCATATAAGCATAGAAAACGATTCATTTATACATCTACATGTTCTAGCTGGTTTTTTTTTTTAAATGTGACACTATTTAGGTATGGTAATTGGCTAGCTAATTAACCATAGAAATTAAAAACGGGAAATACTTAAGGTGAGAAAAAGCTATATCGAAAGATAGACTGAGCGAAATTAAAAAGAAGCATTTATTTTATTTACAAAAAAAATATTATTTGCAAAAGACAGAAAATCCATAAGAAAAAGCGAGAATGTGATTTTGTCAAAATTAATTAATGTCACGATAAGGGAGCGACGCGCCAAATGAAAGAGAATTCTGAAGGAAAAACAAAGCCAACCAATGCATGCAACCATAAAAAGAATTTTGGCCTGAGGTCACCCTGGAGAATAGATATTATCTTTCAGAGATACCATTTAACTTTAATTCCTGGTTCCAGCAAAGGAAGCCATCTGGTATATGCATGAATCTTGACATGAGAAGGAAAAGTCGAAAAAGGAATCATTATTATTGTTTATTCAAACTGTTGACGTCAGACATAGCGTCTCAAAAATGAGCATCTGGTGTTAAGATAATTTTAAGGCATGAGAAAAATAAAGAATTTAATTATCAGGTAAACATGACCACCCAGTTAAAAGTTGACTAGTGGAGGATCAAGGTGTTGGGATTTGACAGTGATTAATGAGTTGGAAGATGTCCGGGCTAAGTGTATTTGGGTGTCCCCCAAAAAATGTGATAAGAATTATTCGGCAATCTGGGGTTTGTAGGGAATGTTTTGGCTGAAGAAGAAAAAAAAAGGATTTTGTGAACAAAATTCTGGATAGTAATTCTAAGAAGGCCAGTCTAGTCACACACACACACACTGCCAAGAGATCATTAGCCAACTGGTAGCATGGGTGATAGGTGGAGGTGAATGTATGAGAAAGACGGAGAAGTTGTTAACACCCACTGAGGGGATTTGTATGAGATACCAATGTGAGAGAGGAAGAGTCTAGAAGGATAACTCTCCTCTGACCTTCCCTCACGGACAAGGGAGAAACCCCCGAAATGGAAAGTGATTAATCTTCCAAAAATGGGAAGTAATTAATTTTCCTGGCCTAAGAACAAAGAGAATTCTTGTTGGGAATTGAGAATTGTCAAGGAACCCAAACCACATCAAGCCCCAACACCAGAGTTGGTCGGTGTCCATATAAATGAACGTCTCGAGGCAGTCAAAGTTCTGAGTTGCAATCAGTTCCAGACAGTTCGAGTTTGGAGTTAGTTTGAGAAGTTGGAGACCAGCCTTGCAGAAGCTGACCGAAAGATTTCCACATCCTCTCTTCCTACCAAAAGCAAGTTTTTATTGACGAATGACTTAAGATACCATAACTCGCTTAAGAAACGCAAAAAGTGTCATGAATCCATAGAAACGTGCTGGGAGAGAAACACACTCCTGTATTCAACAGATAGATAAAGATAATTGTTATTTCTCAACATATTTGAATCTCTTGAGTTGTTTTATCATTTTCTTTTGCTTACGCTTGTGCAGTATCACCTTTACCCTGGATTCAGTTTGCACTACGGCCCAATGCCTGATTGATTTCATCTACCTAAGATCAAAATCACAATGTAGGTAGGTTAGACTTGAGATCAAAGCAGTTACTTTAGTGACCAAGCGTTGGAAGCAAGCTGAGAATGACAAAGCTGGTATCGAACCGGAAACGACCAGATTAACCGGAACACAGGCTGGTGGCAGCAACAAGGAGTCAACCCCAAAACGCTGGTGGAAGAAACCTTACAGTTTCGCACTGCAACTGGGAGTTGACCACGGGCCGACGGCGCAGTGTCATATATTGATGTCACGACCAGTGGACGTCACATATTGGTGCTGGACTGCGACCGTGACCACCGGTGGGTGTCACATAAATTTTTCATTTTACTGTATTAGTTTCTTTCAAATTCCAAAAATACTATTTTAATAAGTGCTATTGGTGAAAGATATGTTGGTAACACCTAGTCTTAAAAGAATTCTTAGTACTACCAATATAAAAAGTTGTTGCTAATCCCATATATATATATATATATATATATATATAAAAATAAATAAATCACATTCTTTTTGTGCAGTCTTGTTCCTAACAACCGTTACACAAGCTGTGATTGTAAATTATTTCAAACTTCCAACTTTCCAAAGACTATAAGGATGTAGACAAAGGAATTCTTATCACAGAAACCACACTGGTTCTTGAAAATGACCAAGATGGTGAAAAGTTCTTGAACAAAACAATAACAAAATATGAACTTTAAACAGTTTATCCACAATTTTGATCACAATACTCAACACGTTATTTGAAAAATAGAATAAAAAAATTAAACAGACAGACCTTGTCAGTTGTTTTTAATCAAATTTTTGGGCTGAATACTCATTGCCTATATATATATATATATATAAACACACACACACACATACATACATACAGACAGATAAAAAAAAAAAACATGTTTACATTCCTATTGTCGTCTTGGGCATTTTTCACTTTTAAGTGTGTTGGTTAAATTATTCAAAAAATGGGAGAGATGTTTGTTTAGCAGTGAAGTATTTAAAGACAATCCCCAATCATGGAGATGACTCCTCACCATAACGTGGCTGAGTCCTGAGCCCATACATGCAACTTCTGAGGTCAGGCCGAAGGTGAAATTTTTTAGCTTCATCCACAAGATCACGACATTCATGACATCGACGTACCAATGGCTAAAAAAAAAAAAAAAGACATTATCAATTAAGTTAATCAGTTAGTAAGTAGGATTCAAAATGTTATATGTCCAAAAGAAAAATGCTGAGAGAATAAAAGTTTTACACATTAATAATGAATATCTTTTTAAAAAGCCTTTTATTGAACTTTTAACTTCAACAATATTTTTGTTTTAATAAAATCACGAGAAACAAATAAAAATTTAAAATAGAGATTTTTTATTCTATTTTTGAATGAAAATTTGCTTATTCGAACTAAAATATAAATAAGATCAAAGACTAAAACCCCAATTTAAACAGATCAAACCTATTCATAAAATTTACTCTAATTCAAATAAGTCATCAACTGTAATATAGCTGTCTCAGGGATGGTGCAAGGAGATTAAGTACTGATAAGAATCCCATAATTCAATCTGTACCAGTTATATAGCAACTGCCATATTTTGGAGGGAAAAACAAAACCAGAGTTGTAGTACCCTTGCTTAGAAAAGAAGCTTGACAGAACTTGTATCTTCTCTCGATTTCTGGCTAGACAGTACACAAGATAGGTTGTAACACATCAGTCACCTTTGGATTTTCATGCTATTCAAGAAATTTTTTTTGTACTAACATATGCAACATGAAGCCTTTGTTTTTTCTTTTAGTATTTAACGGTGTTCAGAGAGATGGAAATAAATTCACTTTTCAAGAAAAACCTCAGGAGCGGTAACAGTGAAATACTTTATCCAAGCATGAAGAAAGACCTAGGGAGTGGTATTAACTAATTTGATAGATACTAATTTTCCTCATGAGAATCTGTTTTTAACAACAAAGACAAAATAGAAATATAAAAATTAGTGTGGATTTCAGCCACTGCTGCTTATATTCACTTTGCACTAACACCCTTGGGAAAGGCAATAATCCACTAAAATCTGAGGCAAAATGCTATAGATGTGGTTAAAAAGAATGTGACATGCTGGCTGATGGTAATCCCAGAAGACTTTGTAAACAGTTTTGAAAAGTAAAAGTGATGTTGGGAGAAATGTTTCAGGTTCCTTAGAACCTGAAAACATTGAAGAGGATGAAAGTGCCATAGCTCTGGGGAGGCTACTAATGTTAAATAGCTAACCCTGTTAAGTAGTCTGTTAGTGAAACAGAAGTCAATGGCGATACACACACATACATATTTTATTGGATTCATCAATAGATCAACTATTATTTGTTTTTTGTTCTGGTGTTTCCTCAAGAATTCATGATGATCTGCTTCATATACAGAGTGGCTGGTGTTTTTAATGCAGCACTACATTAGTGTATTGAAAAAGGATGTGTAAGAAATTTCATGAAGCTCTCATTAACGTCCCCCATTCTATAAATGTATCATTAGTGATGACCAAAGGCAAAAGGTTTACCAATTGTCTGACCTGGCATCTTAGATTCAATCACTTTCCTACGGCCATAACATAGCTTCCCAGTGTCTTTTTTATAAATATTTTCATGGTAACTGTTCTGATGAGCTTTCCTTTTTGGCATCTTGACTTTAAGTGCAGTACTAGATTGGCAGCTAGGTCTCATTTTACAGTTGAAATTACTAACAGTTTCTTCTCTCATACTTATCACTTTGCCAATGCATGAAATTCAGCAGGCCACCATGCTTAAATGCCTATATCAATTAAATTATTGCCAAATCCTTAACTGATTAGAAATTAGCATAAAAGACCATTTGATCACATGTACTTAATAAATTGGCAATGTGTAAACATTAACAATCATTCCTCCTACATGTGTCAAAGTTTGCCTGCAAGTCAGTATGTGAAACAAAATAGAATGAATGGTTGCTACTTGCCTCTGTATCAATTTTGTCTGTGATGTACTTGGCAGAAAGTAGAGGCAGTCGAACATATTGCAGAAGCCGGGCAAGCATATTTTTTCGGTTCTCGGGGTCAGCTTTCACCCACTTGATAACTGCCTCAAACACAGGCTCTTCCGATGTCACCTAAAATCAAAAATAAATCTAGAATTAGGGATGAATTGAATAAACTCTGCAGACTAATTACGAAATCAATTTAGGCAAATCTAGAATATTTACAGGTTCATCATTACACCAAGAAATTATACAATTCAAAACTCGTTTATATTGCTGGATAAACTCTACCACGTTCGGTCCACAGTGCATGTCAATATGTAAAATTGAGATAATGATCAGCATTCATAAAGAGAGAGAAAGGCATTTGCACCTGGATGTCATCACTTCGAATTAGACGTTCAACTTCTTCAACTGGCAAAAGTTTGAATTCTTCATTTTCAATGATCTCATCAAAAACCTGTACGCTGTATTTCTCTGCAGCATTCGATAATGTCACGCAGCCATGGCTCTCAGCAAAAATCTTAATTCCCAAACAATTGGTTGGATCCAGTTGTTTCTCAAGAAAGGCACTGCAGGCTTTTTTGACACCTGCAAATTCAAAGAACAAGAATCTAAATACAAAATATTAAATCAACACAAACACGCATATATTATGAAATGGACTAAGTTTGACAATTATTTTAATATATTTTCTGTTTATACGTTATTTTTTTATAGATACAATATTTAAATAAATGCTCTGTTTATAATAACAATATTAACTACATTTACCAGCCTTTTCATAGAAAATATGTGTCCTCTGACAGGAATGGAACCTGTATCCTACACAGAATCAGAAATGGTATAGCATGACAAGTCAAATGATGGTTCCATGTAGGATACAGGCTTGATGTTGGAGGACACATATTTTCTATGAAATTACTTGCTGGTAAATGTATTTATAAAAATAATGTCCAAACGGAAAATATATCAAAATAATTGTCAGACTTAGTTCATTTCATAATATATGATGTCATTTGTTTATGTTAAGATATGCTAGAGGTAGAAAGTTAATAGACTGATAGTTAAAAGAAACTGACAGTTTGGCCGAGTTCTTAAAATACAGAAGAGGATTTCCAACAAAAAGAAAAATAAGAAGCAGCAAGGCATTTATTGTAAAGTTTAGAGAGAACAGGAGCCAGTTCAGAAGCACATTTCTTTAGGATTATTGCAGGGATACCATGAAGCCTGTATCCTTTGTGGGGATCCAGTTTAGAGATGATAGCAGACACCATAGACAGAGTTATATGCATATCACACAATAGACTCAGTTCAAATTGGAAAGTCAGGCAAACATATTCCAGATGAGTCAAGAATAGAATTGGAAAATAATTTACAAGCCAGACATTCTGCTTTATCAACAGAAAGTGATAACATCTCAAATTGAGTGAAGAGAGGTGGGGGGATAGAAGACTTACCCTTATTTAACACACTCTCACACAGCTGCCAGTAATCATAGGGTGCCTCATTCTGTCAGCGAACAAAGACATAGCTTCATTGAGGACACATTTCAAGTTATTATTTTATTATTTGATATACTATAATTATTTTTATTATGAGTTGATACAAAGAGGCATATGTTGAGTTTGAAACGATTATGTTGGTACAGCCAAAAAAAGTGATTCCCGTGGGCTATGGTGGCTGAACAGGCAGGTGTGACTCAAGGAGAAGATTGTGGTTTTACCTGATATTTCTGAGATGGCGCAAGAACATTAATGCTGGCTTTTACCCAAGAAAAACTTTGTTGGCACAATTCTCAATAGGAAGATTAAAAATTTCATTCCAAGGAATATTGCAAAGAAGATTAGGAAATGAACCTAAATCGGTAGGCTGGTAACACTATAGTGAATAGTTTTGTAAATAGGAGATTCATGTCTAATAAATGAATCAAAAGAAACATTAACAGACATTACTGCATGATCCGAATTGCCAAGAGAACAAAGTTGTGATGATTAACAAAAAGAACAGAGGAATTGAGTAAGGAACAAATCAAGTAAAGAAGCACACTGAGCAGAATTATTAGGGAAATCAGTAGGAAAATATATTTGACTGAAAGACATGGAAAAATTTAAAGTCTGAATACCAGTAACATCCGTAACATTAGAATGATTAAGCCACTTGACATGATGAGCATTAAAATCATTAAACACAAAGATGTTCACAGATGAATTTAGAAAGAGTGAGCCATTTTTGTACTGTCAGATATTTTGTCTAATGTTACAGTCATGAGAAAAAGGGGAGCAAGAAAAGAAAAAAAATGAGATAGCTAACAGAGTGCAATAAAGGAAGTCGAAAGCACATGAAAGAATCATCCAGTAATTCAAGAGGCGATTCCTAACATTAGAAGAATTTTACTGGATGTAAACATCAAGGCCATGCATATGTATCCTAGAACCAGTAAACCACATCCTAAAAAGGAAAGTGGGAATAAACCTCTACTCCTGTTCAATAAAAATGGAAGGAGTACGGGCCAGGTAATAGGTGACCCTATTAATCTGTTCACAACATAGGGGCCCGAGCACTTTTATCAAGATCTAATCTCTGGGAAGGTTGCCAAACAAGGCTGAACTTTGGCCCCCTTCAAGGCCAAAGAGGAATTACCAAAGTACTATATCTTCTCTGAAGATTACCCCAGGAGTTGAAATCTAAGTAATTTAACAGAAAAGTATATCACTTGCATTTCAAGTACATGATTCAAGTTTAAATTTTAAAAAGTTTTAACTCAAAAAAGTCAAAGAAACAAATAAAGAGACAATTAAGGAATCCAACCATTTACAAGAACCTTGACAATTTCTATTTTCATTAAAAATAAATTAACTTTATGAAAAGACTTCATAACTTAAGATATTCCAAAGTGAAGTTCAATTTTAGAAAGATTGATTTGACATATAATATTAATCTGTAGCTATAATATATAATATTAATCTATGTCAGAATAAACAAATCATCATCTGAATATGCCAGTTATAATCTAGGAATAAAATAATCAATAATATATATATATATGTCCACACATTATTTATTTATTATTAGTAATAATAGTATCATTGTCACATTAATTGTTTAGTTGTATATAAATTCAAGAAATAAAGTTAAAAAAATTAAGAGGTTATAATAAAATAGGCATGACAGACAGACTTAGATTTAGGAATGCCTCACCTCCAAAAGCCAAAATTACGTCTTCCTTTCCTTTGTTAAATATAAAGTAAAGTTTTAAAAATGTTAAGTTATGTGTAAATAAATAATTATCATTCACTTGTGCGAAATATAAAAACAAATTAGCAGATATAAAGAATTTAAATTTCCTAATGTTTACTAAATCTGGCATAAGGTCACAGAGTAGTGAGCATGAAGTGAAGACTTAACTCATTACATTAAGAGATTTTTAACCATCACTGAACAAAAACAGGCCTTCTATGAAAATGTACTGTAGAGAAGTTGATAAATATGAAAAAGATTAAATCAACCTGTTTCAGTATTTTTGGAGAGGAGTCTGTCATTATCAATAATAAAATTCACATTTTCTAATATTATTTGAATTAAACATTTCACGTAAGAATGAAAAAAGGATTTTTTGAATGAACAACATTTTTAATATTTATATGATAATCAGCTTTTAAAGCATTTTCCCCTTTAAAACCATTCAGGATCAAAATTTTCTAATCTATAAAATTAGGAAAGAATAAAATTAATTCTGAATAATAGTTTAAAATTATTGTACACTCATTTGTATCCACAAACCCCCACATTCATATGAATGTTTTACATACACACATATCTCAAATATTACATAAACAAACACACACACCGAAAAAAAAAAAAAAGGAAATGGAAAAAAATTACTTAAATGTTTATAGAAAAAATAATTAAAAAATTATTGAATTGTATTACCTTTTTTATGTAACATTATTGTGTGTGTGTGTGTGTGTGGTTTTAACAATGTGTAGGCGTATAGACTTAGATGCATATCATTGTGACTGTGCACTTACCGGTGAGCTGAAGCAAACAAGCAGCCGGCAATAATTCCTGCACATTTCCAACATTAACGTTGACTGTTTCTGTATAAATGAAATCAAGCAAGATTTGCATTACTGCAGCTGAGATGCCCTGGATATGGATGGTTGACTCTCGTTTTTCACACATCTGCAACAAAGAGTGACATTCATGATCAGAGAAATGTTACAGAAAAAAAAAAAAAAAGAAAATTTGGTTGCTGCAAAAATAATTTTAAAATGTAAACATTAGAAATCAGTTGGATACTTGCTTAAAAACACACACACACCAACAGCAATAAAAAGTAAATATATATCAGAATTTTTTAGACAAGGAATTATTTTCCATTTAGGTTAGTATAACAGTCAAGGTGAGTCTACTAGGCAGAATGGAAAGTCATAAAATAGAAAAGGAACTTTAATCAACTTCAGCATTGCTACTAACGTGAATAATGAACTAAATATCTGTTAATAATATTCATTCATTTCTGTAAATAACTGCATTTCTTTCTTAAATACTGTTTGGATATTTTTATGCTATCTTTACTTCATGTTTTCAAACAATGGATTTACAGATTTGTGCTTAATGAAAGTCTGAAAACCATTAATATAAAGAATATTTATTCAAAAGTCAAATCAAAAAAGTTAATCAAATACTAATTACCTCAAAAGGTTTTGGATTCTATTATTTTATATTTAATATTGAATGCATTTATTTTTCACATTTCATTGAATAAACTATATACACCGAACAAAATGACTATATTAATTAATATCTGCCATTTGAATTGTTTCTAAGTCAATTCTAAAAGAAAGATTCAGGTTTTTTCTGACATTTTGCATTCTTTAACATAAAAAAATCTTAATTTTTTTAGGCTGTCTTAGATACTGATATGAAGTAATATTATTATTCAATACTTTTTTGTTACTTTTTCTTGCAATATGTCTGACTATTGCAAAATAAAATGGTAACACTGCATGCTCTTGCGGTGTAAGATGCAGTGGCGTAGCTAGGGGGGGCGACCGCCCCGGGTGCCAGCACAGGAGGGGTGACACAATGTCACTCCCAACAAAATTTTTCAACCAGGCTAAGGTGCCAAAATTAGTCTGAAAACAGTGATGGGGACACAGGGTTTCACAGGCGGACATAAGACTCTCCAGAAATAATTTATGACCCCCCAGTTTTGTCCCCGCATCAGAAATTTTCTAATAAATTGTCGGGAAATTTGTGAGTAGGAAAAATAGCAATGTTTTCAGCTTTTGATTTGAACTGATTATTTTGTGGTATTGGATTTTGTCTTGGATCATACATGTAAACAGTAACGTACCGGTCAGTAGAGTAAAGTAGAGGTAGAGCATGTATGAAAATTTAGCTACAACTAACCATTCAGCATAGGGTGAATCGGGGTCATTGGGGTGACATCTGAGCGGACCACCCTGGGTGACGTTTACTCTAGCTACGCCACTGGTAAGATGTGAGTTAAAATTCATTTCAAATTCTGCAATTTGAAGGCTGAAGAATAAATTAGCCAACACAACAAAATATAAAGTATACCAGTTTTAAAAAGAATATGGAATAATTTGCAAAGGATTTTCAAACAAAACATGATTTTATTCAAGAAGCCTTCAGATATTCTCCCAAATATTGGTTTGGTTAAAACTGATGACATCTTGTGAAAAGCTGTTTACAAACAATATTTAAAAAAAAAAAAAAAATAGTTGAGACTTATTTTTGTACTTTCTGTGTAAGATCTTTATATGTTTTGCTTTGTTTTTGTTTTATATTCATCAGATTCTTTCTCTTGCTAATCTATATAAATCTTCATAAAAACCTGGAACACATTCTTTGAGGAATTCTAATTATGTTTAGAAGCATATGAACTGTTAGTCTATTTAAAGATAATTATAATTAAAAAAAATAATTTAAGAACAATTAAAAGTGATGTTTTCATGATTTTCTTCATAATTATGATATTTCTATAATTTCTTGTGATTGCAAAGATTTTTTTTAATTCATTTTACATTTTGTTACAATTTGAACATATCCACCTATTTGAGAGTGTGTGTGTGTGTGTGTGTGTTTTAACAGTGGAAGTTGAAAAACACCAAAAGGTGGTCATGATTCTTGTCACATTAGAAGACGACATTACCTCATTAGTGAACATGGCACAGAAGTAATCACTGCAGGCTGCGAGTACAATTCTGTGAGCAGGGAAGTCCACACTGTCAACATGCAAAGTGACATCACACAATGTATGTGTTTTACGAAGCATGTTCATTGTGGTGAGGATGGATTTGGCATGGCAGTTGGTGAACAACTCACTGTTTGCTTCACTCTCAACATACGACATGTTTCTCTTGAAATGCTCAACGACAGTCAACCATCAGTCAATTCAACAATGAAAACAAGACTCAGCTCTGTAAATAAATAAAAAAAAATGTAATTTTCACAAAACACCCAAACTATTTTTATTTTATAAAAGAATTTTAAGAAAATATAAAAAAGAAAAATTAAATTTCATTATTTTCATTTTTATCAAATATATATAAAAACATGCAACAGCAATTAGATCCAACTAATCATTTTTTTTACAGTTTATCAACCCATTACAGGTTATCTAAAGCCAGAAAATATTTTTAGATTGTAAAAATTTTTTTTGCTTATATCTCTTTTATGAGGTATTATGATTACTTACATTATTTGAACTGTTATCGTCATCTTCACTGCCATATTCACACACGTATGGCCCAGTGGATAAAGGTGTTGCTTAGATCCAGTGACTAGTCCCAGAGAGTTGTGAGTTCAATACCTGGCTACAGCAGTGGTGAACCAAAATTTGGAGAGTTAAGTTAAAGGGAGATAACTGAGACATCCGGAAGAGGCATGGCACGTGGAACTAAAACAATCTAACCTGGTGGATGAAATAAAGGGTTCAGTTCAAAATTCCAATCACCTGAAGAAGGCCAGAGCATACATCAGCCAAAACGTTGTGAATATGGCAATGAAGATTAGGATAACAGTCCAAATAATGTAAATAAGAATTTTTTTAAGATACTAATGGTTTAGTGATACGAGTCTTACTAATTAAGCCATAGCTAGGTGGGGAGAAGAGGTGAATTCATGCCTTTCCCAAGGGTAGTTGCATATAAGTGAATATAACAAACCCAATGGTAATTGGAACTCAGCTCTCTGATTAACAATTCTGAGCCATTATCCATTACAACACCCACCCACTCAAACTTACAGTACCTGGTATTCCCAAGCGATCACCAATTTAGGTACTGACCAAGCACAGCGTAAACTTCAATGATCATATGGGAATTGTTGTTTCAAATATCTAACTCTAACACAAGGTCATTACTATCAACATCATTATTATAAATGTAATTTTTATGGCACTAGTTTTATGACTATAAATTATATTTATATTTTAGAATTAAAGTAATATTTATGGGACTGAAACAACTTAGGGCCAATTAAGGAAAAAAACACCTCCATGCTAACCACTGTGCAATATCAAATCATTAGAATGAAATTTATTTTAGTGACATTAAAACAACTATCCATTTGGCTTCTTTTTTTTTTTTTTTGACTCACTTGAGAAAAATGTCCAGAAATTTATTTTTTCATCCTAATAAAGTAATATATTAATAAGCTATTGTAAATAATTAAACAAGTTAGCAATTTGCTAAGATGAACACGCATTTCAGGTAATAATTAGTATTAAGGTGTAAAGAAACTTTTCTTCAACATTGCAACAATTTGGTAAGAAATTGAATGGCATAGAAAACAATGAAAAGACAAATTAGTAGAAAAAAAAACAACATTTACATAATTCAATTTTTGTAAAGCCAACTTGAACAGAACACTAAATGTTGTAAGTGGTAAGTAAAATAAATAATGATCTGAAAAAATATTTTTTCCGTTTTAAAACGCATTATTCTTTCTATTATGGTTTTCATTGTTAATTATAAGTACAATTGGAAAATGAGGTTAGGACTATCTTGGATTCATTTTTTTTTTAAGGTGGTACCTTTAAAAAGTAATAAATTCAAGCTTAATTCACATGTTTTAATCATCAAAACTTATTTTAAAAGACGTATTTCGTGGACTTTTGCAACGTAATTTTATTGTTTAAGTCCTTTATAATTAAAATAAATTAAATTTCTATTTTTATCTCAGCTGTTTAAAAGTGAAAGTAAAAGAAGAGTTGCCTCCCTTGTGATCTAAGGAGATGACGTATACGAAGGAAATGTCACAAAAATAAATGATGATAGACAATTATTAAAAAAAATAAATGGATTGCAGTTCCGATTCCTGAGAAAAATTTTAGAACAAATAATTTGCTTTTACTTTCTTGATTCTAAGAAGATCACTAAAAAGAAAAAAAATAATATAATGGAACATTACCAAAAATTTTTAAATTAAAATAACGACAAATCAAAAATAAATAAATAAATAAATAAAACTAATCGTCTATCCCAACTCGTCTCTCGCATATAAAATGACGAAAAAGAACCAATAATTATTTACCGACGAAAAAAAAGAAGATATAAATATTCATGTTGCAAAAAACTGAATGAGTTTCGGTGAACAACAAGTGTTTCATAATAATTAGGGGCAAAAAGTATAACTGATGACGTTTTTTTTTTTTTAATTTGGAGGGGAAATTTCACATTTAATTCATACGAAATAAAAGATAAAAAAAATAACTGCAAGTACTTAACACGTGGACTGGGCGGAAGTTTTCAAATAACTAAGAAAACAATCACAACATTAGCGATCAGTAGATAAATAAAAGTAAAACTCGTTTTGTATTTTAATATTTTTTTATTGGTGCGATTTGTTGCCATTGTACGACGCGTAAAAAAAAATCTAAATTTCAAAAACAGAAAATTAAACTAAATATAAAATTTTAAAATATTCAAATAAATAATGCATTTTTTTTTCAAAATAAAAAATTAAAGTTTAAAAGTAAAAATTATTCTTCTGATTATTAAATACACAAAAAAGTGACAAAAGTGAATATTTATTATTTTTTTAAAAATCTATCTAGACATAAAATAAATTTTGGAAAATAAAAATCAAGAATCAAAAACTAAATTAGATAATTTAAAAATAAATCATGTAACAATGAAATTGAAATTATTAGCAAAGACATGTGATCACACTGACGCAAAGAGCGAGTTATATCATAATTATTTACTGCTGCAATATTCTGGATTTTAAGTAGCAAAAAATAATACTAGTGATAAACTATAAGATATTTTTGGTAGAGTATAGATACCCTTGCTTGGGTAAATTTAAAAATTAAAAAAATGAGAGATATTTTTTAACGTTATTATTAACTGAGCTAGCGTACGCGCCCAGTCACATGCAAATGGTTGCTGCTTTCTTCGAAACAACAACAAAGAATAGCGAATAAAACAATCATAAATGATAACAAACGTCAAGGGATACAGAAAGCAAAAACAAAACAAAGCAACAAAAAAAATGGTTGTCCTTCCCCTCGAAAGGAGCAGGAAATCGAAATTCGCGGCCTCAAATATTCAACCTGAAATAAATAAATGAAACCTAAAATAAATAAGTTTTTTTTATTTATATTTTTGTTTGTTTTTATTTTTATCTGGTTCGGGCAATCCAGGGTTTGTTTACGTCCTTTTTGAAGCCCAAACACTTCAGTAAAAAAAGTCCTCTGGAGGCTCTGACAGGAGTGCACAAGGATGCAAAGACTATGGAAACTATAGAAGAAGGTATGTAGAGTTTGCAATTATATTTGGTTACTGACCTGTTGGTTCTGGGAAGAATAAGTCCGCAAAAATAGTGAAGAAAAAAAACCGAGCGAACGGCTTAGCGCCATTTCTTCTGTTGACCTACATTTTAGTATTTCTGCCTCGTTTTCGATTCTATCAACGCGAGCTTTTTTTTTTTTTAAATTTACTTGCCCCCTGATACAGTATAGTAATATATATATATATATATATATATATATATATATATATATATATATATATATATATATATATATATATATATATATGTATGAGAGAGAGAGCCTACAAGTGATTCTGATGGAAAAGTTTGAGGTCAGATGACAAACTTATAGGTGAAAGGAAAAATTACTCTGTGATATAAATGGTTCAAATTATTGAATATTCTACTGTAGTTTGAATTAATGATTAGAGAAGGAAATGCCACTTACCTTGATGCCTAAGAAGAGAGTTTTATAAATAAAAACCAGAGCATTGTGGGCAATAAATGTTCATATAAGGAAGGATTTTATGGTGTTTTCCCCTGCGTTTTGTTACATTAGTTTTGGAATGCCAGAATTAAAATGAAGAATCAGTTGGATGAAAAATAAAATAAAAATATTATTATTCAGTGAATAAGAAAAGTAGCCTTACATGACAGATATCATTTTGCCTTTTGCTTGTTTCTGTAGCAGAAATTGATAAGTGCATGCAGTTCTTTATTCTTATTCACTTTATTTAAACCACAATAAACAACAATTTAACAACCACTGTTTCTATTTTGGCATTTGAGATTCTTAACTTTACCAATGACAATCTTCAAAATGTTATATCAGCTCACTTGCCAATTCTTAAAATGATTCTTAAAAATATAAAATTTTAGTCACATATTCCCCTCTTCCAAAATAACCAAAAATAATTGACTTCATGCCTTTTTATTTTGAAAACCCAAGTGAAGTTCAGACTTCAGAAATTAATCATAATTCCTATAAATTAAATTTATAACAAATTTTTCCATTTTTTTTTTTTTTAACAATTTGCATTTAAAATGAATTAAAGAAAACTGCATGACTTCTACACAAGTTTAGTAAAAAGAAAGGACTAACCAACAACTGTAAGACAATAGAATCTATGATTGTTAGCAAAGGGGACAGCCCTAGATGCAAACTATGAATAGGAAATGTTAAAATAAAGCAAATCCAGAAATGTAGCCATCTGGAAAGTGTGATGCAAATATGCAAAGATGCCTTCAAAAAATAAAGTAAGTATTAAGAAAAAAGAATTTCATTTGAAACAAAAAGTTCTAAACTGCAATGGAATATCAGTCCTCCTATGTGCCAGCAAATGCTGAACAATTTCCACACAGATGAAGAGAAGACTTGATACATCAGATATGGTTCAACAGAAGAATACTTAGAATACCATGGATGGAATATGTGAGCAATAAGGAAGTTTTAAGAAAATGTGGATGAAAAGACATTTGTGTTTAGGATCAGGAAAATTTCTGGCACATAATGAAGAAAGAGGTCTTGGAGAATTCAACACCCAGAGTACACAATAAAAACAGAGGGAAACCTAACAAATTTGTGTAAATGGATAG